TAACTAGTATACGTCTGTTAGAACATTTACGGAAGGAGGACCTTAGGCTGACTCGACCTTTTTGACTAGGTGAAACTCCCAATTAATAATGTAGCTACATAGGAAGTTTCGTGTGTTCTGCATGGAATCATTGCACGACAAAACATTATCCACAGGGCTAGATCTACTTCCTCAGCTCAAATTCAATTCATTAATGCTTTGTGCATCTATTACAAAACGTGCCCTTTGCCCAAATGTGGAAACACCATTTATATTATTTGGAGAGGATAAATAGGTACATTATTTGGAGAGAGAAAATAGGTTCATTTAAAAAAAAAAACAATAAAAAGACGATCAAATTATTTTTCATAAAATAAATAATAAGTACTTTATTTAGAGAAAAAAATAGGTACATTATTTAGAGCAAAAATAGGTTCATTTAAAAAAATATTTTTCATAAAACAAACAATAAATAGATTATCAAAATATTTTTCAACATAATTAGAATGTACATTATTATTCATAAAACAATAATAAAATAGATTACTAGTAGTATAATTCATAAAAGGAAAACAACATAATTTTTTTATTAAATAAACCAAAAAGTTAATTGCATTAGATTACTAATATGTTAATGTTGAATTTAATATTTAATTTCAAATAAGTTTCTAAATTAATTTCTACATCCATTACAACCATTTGAAGATCCAAATTCAATGTGTGTTTACACCCCCACATAACGCGTTAACTTGTAAATAGGGGTAGTTTTGGAATCCAAAAAATATAATAAATAAGATTTTAAGCTAGATTAGGCAACTTGCTTTCTTGGATCTTAGTTTAAAAAAAATAGGTATTTTAAATTTAAAAAAAAAATAAAGGAATGAGTTTTAGGTGATTAAAAATGAATTTTATGGGTCTAAGCTCAATTTGCTATTATATATATTGTGATCGGTTAGGCTTACAGATTGATGAACGTGTTATCCCGCACTAAAAAGAAAATCCAGTAGTAGAAGCCTTTGTAAGTTTAATAGAGAGATATTTTTAGGTTAATAAAAAAATGATACAAGTCAGTTTGGTTTGGGGTTTTTTTTTTTTTTAATTTTTTTTAATTAATTTTTTTTTAAATTTATTTATTTAAATATTTTTAAAAAATATTATATTGGCCTTGACTCGATTAAAAAAAGAAGCTTCAGATCAAAAGGGTCCCAATCCATTGCTCTTCAGCATTCCGTGTTCTTTTTAATTTTTGAGAGGCTTTGCGCATTGGCCACAACTTTCTTCCCTTTTGACCACTCAACGCTGGCCTTGGAATGGATTAGGCATCTCTTACTGGTACAATTCAATTGCCCCCATGAGACTTCACCATAAATATAAGCATGAAGACCACCAAGATTTAAAGACCAAACTACTCATACAACTCTCTCTCTCTCTCTCTCTCTCTCTCTCTCTCTCCTTGGTCAAATATATAGCCGCATACTCTTACCACCACAAAACCAAAAGTTCCTCCTTCCACACTCAATGGAATATTTGAATTATTATTAATTTCTTCATCATTTAATTCCATTTGATCCAGCTAGCTCTTCTTAATTCTTATCCCCTCTAGATCTATCAACTTCTGTTCTTGTTAATTCTTCTTCTTCTTCTCCACCAACTTTCACCTCTTTTTTTTTCATGGATGATATTGAAGTTCCTCAGTATTTCGTCTGCCCAATATCTCTCCAGATCATGCAAGACCCTGTGACGGCCATTACCGGCATCACATATGACCGGGACAGCATCGAGCACTGGCTTTTCCAGAGCAAGAACACCACATGCCCGGTCACCAAACAGCCTCTCCCAAGAGACTCAGAATTAACCCCTAACCACACCTTACGCCGCTTAATTCAGGCTTGGTGCACTGAAAATGCGTCTCATGGCATTGATCGAATACCAACCCCGAAACCACCTCTGGATAAGGCTCAAGTCCTTAAGCTCCTCAAGGACTTCTGGAACCCTAAGCTCCAACTGAAAATCATTCGAAAAATCGAGTTCCTTGCAACCAAAAGCGAAGGGAATAGGAAGTACTTGGTTGACGCTGGCGTGGCTAAGGCCATGTTGTTGTTCATCGCAAACAGGTGTTATAAGGAGGGGCTGGTTGATGGCCTTGAAGAAGCCCTTAGCATACTACACTTTGTTCGGATTTCATCCGAAGAACTAAGTCTTCTTTTCATGGAAAACGATCAGATTTTCGATTCGTTAACGTGGGTTTTTGGTTGCAAATTGCAGAATCAAATCTCGGTGAGCACACATGCAGTCTTGGTACTAAAATCGCTCATCCAAAAGGCAAACTCAAGTGTGCTAGAAACTCTGAACCCTGATTTCTTCAAGAAACTTGTTGGGGTTTTGAAAAACGGGGTTACGCAACAAGGGGCAAACGCAGCTCTACATATCATGTTAGACGCTTGTCCATGGGGAAGAAACCGAATCAAGATGGTCGATGCCGGGGCGGTTTACGAGCTCATTGAGCTTGAGTTTGAAGCACCTGAAAAGAAAACCACAGAGCTCATTTTCGGAATATTGTTTCACTTGTGTTCTTGTGCTGATGGGAGGGCTCAGTTTGTGAGCCACAAAGGAGGCATCTTTGTTGTGTCGAATAGACTCTGGAAGGTTTCGCCGTCTGCAGACGACAGAGCCATTTTGATCCTTTCTTTGATCTGCAAGTACTCAGGAACCAACATGGTGCTTCAGGAAATGTTGGAGGTTGGAGCTGTTTATAGGCTTTGCACTTTGCTCCAAGTTGACTGCGCTCCATACTTGAAAGACAAAGCAAGGCAAATCCTGAGATCACATTCTGAGGAGTGGAAGAAGTGTCCTTGTCTTTCTCCGTCGCAAATGATCAAATGCAACCGAGTGTTCAAATAACTATTATATTATCTATTTATAAATTGAAATTTGTTGAACAAACAAATTAAAAAAGAAAGAAAGAGCATGCAATCTCTGCTGTCAGATTAATGTTTGCAATAATTTATACTTCTTATGAGAGTCTTGGCATTAACTTATAGTATTGTTGTTTAAAGGCAAATTACCTTGACCCATCTTCTCTTTTTTTTGAACTCTTTTTGAGTAATAACATATGGCATCCAAAACTTTATTTCAAGATCTCTTTCAAATGTAAGGGACTTATAGCTTAAGTAGTTTAGAACATGTACTCGTGCATCCTGTGAGAATGTGAAGATAAAGAATCTCACATTGGAAAGTTGGGAAACATAGCAAGGGCTTATAAGGAGCTGAGTTACTCCTCCCATTGCTAATTGGTTTTGGAGTGAAATCTCAACTTCCTTCATGGTATCAGAGCAGGTTAGCCCATGTGTGAAAGTCCAACGGCCACACGTGCTCTACATCACTCAATATGTATTGTCCATGTGCTAGGCTTGAAAATTCGCCACACTTGCGGGGCGTGTGAGAATGTGAAGGTAAAGAGTCTCACATTGGAAAGTTGAGAAACTTAGCAAGGGCTTTTAAGGAGTTGGGTTACTCCCCCCTTGCCAATTGGTTTTGGAGTGGAATCTCAACTTCCTTTATGGTATCAGAGCAGGTTAGCCCACGTGTGAAAGCCCAACGACCACATGTGCTCCACGTCACCCAATATGAGTGTTGTCCACGTGTTAGGCTTAAAAATTTGCCACAAGTGCGGAGCATATGAGAATGTGAAACGTAAAGAGTCCTACATTGGAAAGTTGAGAAACCTAACAATGACTTGTAATTAAGGGGTTGGGTTACTCCCCCATTGTCATGTATTCATTTTCCTCCCAACATTGTTTGTATGAAGAAGACTTCGCTAAAATAATTAATGTATTAAGGAGATTTAGCATTTGTCATTTCTTAAACCTCTCAAATGTGCTTTTTGCAATTTACTAAAGAACCATCGTATATTCATACAATTGAAGGGCCTAATTATTAATGGTCATATTAGAGGTTGTAAATTCAAATATAAAAAGATCTAAATGGTGTAGTTCATTAAAAAATTCGTATCTATATTTGTGAGAATGTTGTTAAGGTTTCCAAATCATGGATAGCACATTTGAACCAAAGGTTGACTAAATTAAAGAAATTGTTTTATCTAGAAGCCTACCTAGTAGTACTTTTCTTCCCAGTGTTAAAAGATGTTCCCAGTTCGAATCGTGCCTCGATGAAAAAAAAATAAAAATTAGAACTTGGGCCTTTTGATGATCTATTTTTTGGGCCTTGACATTTTGATTAACTTGAGATTTGTTGATTTCAGAGAAGAAATTTGACTAAAAAATTATGAAAAAGAAAAGAATTTGGTCCCGTTCTTGCACCATTATTTTAATGTTGCGCGCGCAGTCAATGATTTTCTCATTTCATGTATGATTTGTTTGATTTTGTCCATTCCAGGGTGTACAAGTTGTATAATTATTAATTGTTGAATAGATATATAATTTGACTAATCAATACCTTTCACTGTTATGCTTTGACCATTAATTTACTATATTAATCTGGATTGTGAGACTTACTAGGTACTGGCTCTTGCATCATTAATTTTAACCACTTCTGAATGTTCAAAGTAGCAGCTTCATATTCAAAGTGAATTTTGATGGGCTGCACGTGAAAATACAATGGCAAGGTTTTAATCAGGCCACTCTAAGTGCACCAATTTTCTCCGGCTTTTCTAGGTGTCCTTTTGTATGTCATATTGACTGTTACTGAAAGTGATAAAGATTTTTCCTTTGATAAAAAAAAAAAGAAAAAAGAGGTTGTTACTTTTGATCCTCTGAGCAGTTTTTTATTATTTATTTTTTATGCGATGTTATTGTGAGTACATGCTCAAATTATCAAGTTAACCATTATGTTTTACAAGACACTCGATAAATTTATTTTTTGCTTGCATTGCATGAATGTCAAATTGATGCAATGTGGGTCATTTTTCATCTGTCTATATCTAGAAGGTTAAGATTTTCTTTACAATATTTTTGTGTGTACAATTTATTTGAATTTTTGCATCCTTTACATAAAAAAACAAAAGACTCTATTTGGGACATGACAACTTAAACGGGACGCAAAGATCCTAACTCAGAAGCAGTATGAGGTCAAAACCATATATAATTTATACCTTTGTTTTCATTGAGGTCTATTATTATTATAATTTTTATTCAAGATGCATAACTTCCATTCATCTGGAAAGTCAACTGAATACCAGCCAAATAGGATTTCAATGCACCACGTGGATGTTGTGTAAATTTGAGGTCTTCCAAAGCCCCTTTCTTTAACTAAACATTAGGCACAAATTCATAACTAGTACTTACCCACTATTTATATAAACCGTAGCAATTAAATCAAGCTCTCTCGAAGTGGAAATATAACTGTCCCTAAGCTCTCAGTTCTGGCGAAAACAAAAAAACAACCCCACCACAGGTTGCTCAAAAAGGAAGGTTTTTTGTTTGTAGAATTGAAAGCCGTCCACTAGCGGATCTGACTGATTCCTTGCTAATTAGGTCAAACTAAATCAATAAAAAACAGTATTCTGCATAACCCCTGATCGATCAAAAGAAAATTGTGCTTCAATTTTACTTACGTGGAACAAACATATGCAAGGCATGTCGTAAAAAGTCGATAGAAAAATTAATTCACATTATGCTTTGGTCAGGATGTCGTCAGTAGTGAGCTTTCACAACGCGCGTCTCATGCATGCATGCCCTAAATGTCACGTCTAATGGTGGGATGTAGCCTATAGCCCAAAAAAGCTTTGAAGAGAAAAAAAAATTACCTATATCTATATGGCCCACCAAGTTTGGTGCTTTTTACTTTGATCCAATCCTCCAATCAAATTGACCGAATCATGTAATTGCTTAGCAGCCCTTGGTCACGTCGTAAAAAGTCAACTTTGATGTAGTGATATTGCTAACATACAAAATATTACACCAATAGATGGAATTGAACACAAGAAGATTCAAGATTTGGGGTCATGTATATGCAATTTCTTTTATTACTTTCATCAAAATGGCTCTGGGGAAATGTACCTATGCCGGACTTGTACAAATTTCTCATCCACAAGTACAACTAAATCATCATCAATTAGTCAATTAGAGGCAGTAGCCAACCTCTTCAATCCAATACAAAGATGCGTACAATCACATCATCAGAGGCAGCCAGCCATATACATCATATTGGTTGCGGGTAATGAGGTATTCAAAACACAGACTTTTCGTAATTTGGACGATGAATGGCGTACGCACTAAGACTATGGACATGCAACCAGCAAATATACCAATCACTTCAACGTAACCCTACATAATTCATAATCGGTTTTGTTTATATATATATATATATATATATATGAACCAGACTTTTCTAGTCGGCGATGATTGTTTGAAATTCAAAGTCGCCTCTCACGTGATGCATAATTAGCCACTTACTCTTCAGTCTGTAATAAGTGTTGATGCATCATACATCTATCCACCTTATACGACCCGCTGACATTTAGCGGTGGCCATAGCTTATAAGGTTGACTTTTGAATATATTCAAACTCCTCTCTTGGCTGAAACATCATAAGCTCTAAAAAGTCCCTGTTTGCTTCACGGAAATTTTAAGGATAAGAAATAGAAGATTCATTTTTCATATTTGATAATGATGGGAAAGTAACGAGGAAATACCACTTTATTTCTTCTCTCATGTTTGGTTTGTGTTGAAATATAAAACAAATTTTGTTTAATTTTTCAATTATACTCATGTTAGAAATATAAACTAAATAAAATAAAAACATAATGCGTTAATGCTATTATAATTCTAAATTGTTAATGGGGACAAAATTGTCATTAAAAATGTGCATTTAATGTTGTCCTTAATTAGTTTCCCATGGAAAGGGAAAATGAAACCCAAAAGGGTAGAGAGTTTCATTTTCCCCCTATTTTCTCATGCGCTGTGCAACCATTAACTATATGCTTAGACTTACCAAACATGGGGAATCAAGCCTCATTCCTATGAACCAAACATACCCTAAATTTTAAAGAAAAAAATGGAGAAAAGAATACACAAATAAATCATACCAAAGCTATCAACCAAGTCAAGGGTGCATAACTAGAATTGTAAAATTGGGAGGCCAAATATAAATACTAACTTGAAAAATACATAAATATTAAGAATTTTCATATTATGGCTAAATATGCTTTTCATTTCTTCATGTACTCATTGGTCGGAAGGGCCATATACTTAAATTATTAACAAGCTTTCTATTACTAGTTACCCAAAATAACACGAGGTATGAATAGGAGTTTAGAAAGAAAAAAAATTGGTTTTTGGGGGGGGGGGGCTTAAAGTGGCTCATCCACCACTAAAATGGATAACGTGGAGCATGTGTAGTCGTTGAGCTTCATGATAAGCTAACCTGCTTTAATTCCAAGTAGGAAGTAGACTCCATCCCAAAACAAATTAGCAATGAGTAAGTATATCAACTCTTTATAAAACAAAGGTTTGTAACTATTCTAGTATGAGATATTTCTTCACTTCCTCACAGTAATAACAAATTCATGCATCAAAGTAAAATGATAACATAACGTGACGGTGTTCAACCCGTACCGAAAAATTCCTCAACAAATGGCCATATAGAGTGTGGATAAAGTTAACACGGCTCTTGGTGGTCAGCAAATATGCGATGTGCGGTCGCATCCACACAGACCCACAAGAATGAATATGAAAAAGTTTGAAAGCGCCTCTCTCATTCTCAGCCTCTCAAAGGCCATTTATGGCCGTGGATGGATAAGCCCCTGAGACTTTGAGTTGAGAGTCGAGTTGTGGCTGGCGGCCCTAACGCTGCGGGCACGCGTTTACCAAAGGTAGTAGTGGTATTTGGGCACGTGGGAGAAAGAAATCATATGTTACAATCTTTTGGACAAGTTATCATTGCGGTCGTCAGCACGGATTTAAGATTAAAAAAAATAACTTGGGTTAAATTTTAGATTAAATTTTCCAATCGATAAAAACAACAAAAAACAAAAAACTCAACAGGACGAGTAAATTTCATTAATAAGCAAGAAAACATACATATAGTCAGAGACATATTAAATCTTACCCCTCAAAATACAAACATATACATAAGTGAAAACTTAATTGAAAAACAATAGCAATCATAACAACCAATAAATTAGGTACTAATACTCAAGTTAATAACACAACTTGCATTGACAAATTTCCAATATACAGTGCGTGGGTTCGAAGTCGATTTGGACTTTTCTAGTAGTGGGTTTTTTTCTTTCCCTTTTGACAGTTTGAATAGGAGTGTGAGTTTGTGTGTCGTGTACAAGAGGTTTGAACACATAATCATTCTAACAAGCAAACCATGCAACAAATCTTCCACCAAGTGTGCGTGTGTGCGTCGTGTTTTCTGTTCAGGTAGGATACGACACTATTGTATTTTGGCCTGATCATGTTGGACAAGATTCGGAAATTGATATTGATATACAGACAAATCTTGCCAGATTCTCGCTGCAACAAATGTAGCCATGCGAATTCTTGCCATATTTTTATCACGCAATTGGATTCGTCATTGGCATAAAAACCTCTTGCGTCATTGGCATTCGTATATACATAATATTTCGTATTTTTAATAGGATATTAGTTTTTCGTAAGAGTACACGACAGCTATAAACAAAAAAAACCTAAATCAAACTTAATTAGTTTTTTTATTTATTGGAAGCTTATGGAAAAAACAAAAAGGGGTATTCAATTAATACACAAGTCAACTAAGAGGTATTTTTCATCAATAGTTTTTTTTTTTGGGGGGGTTAGGCAATTAAAGGAGATGAGCTATCCACACCACACATATGATCTGCTAGTCTTGCCGATGAACTAATACTCCACCCACATGTATGGTCTACAACCTCTCTTTCTCATAAAATTAGTCGCATGACTAGCATGTGAGGGGTTGAATTTGAGTGTGTGTGTGTGTGTGTGAGAGAGAGAGAGAGAGAGAGAGAGAGAGAATTTTAGAGAAATTATATCTAACTGTTGTAAGCAAGAATATATCATAAAACTTATTATCAAAACTATTATTGTTAACATTTGATTATGTCTCAACCAATGATAAAACTCATTATCAGAATGATTAGTGTTAAGATTTGATTATATCTTAATAATCATAAAACTCATTATCAGAGTTTTTATTATTAAGATTTGCACTCCTGGGCCACATTCTCATACAAGATTTCTTGGGCCACATTCTCATACAAGTTGTTATTATTAAGAAATGTTAAATTTCAGAGAGACGGACAAACGGTTCACTACTAGCAGCAACGTTGTTCCCAACTTAACCACTTACAAAGTATGGTAGGTGCGGGGTTTTATTACAAAAAGTCTCGGTGCTATTAGGAGTGTAATCACTCATTATATGTTGTATTTTATTTAGTCAAGTTTATAATGTTGGATTTTATATTTGTCAACACGCCCCCTCACGTGGGATCACCACATAGTGAGCCACATGTGGAGCCAAGTACACATCGAAGTCAAACATTCAAGCTCAACACGTGAACATCACGTATTGGATAAAGAGTAAGGGTAAACATTCGAATCCAACATGTGAACAACATATATTGGGTAAGAGGTAAGGGTAAATGCCCAATACTTCTAGCCCAGTCAATTAACCACTTTGGTCTGATACCATATTAAATTTCAAAGATACTGACCAACAGCCTACTATTAGCAACACCGATATTATCTCCAAATTAATCACATACACAAAACCCAGTAGGTGAGAGGGTTTATCACAAAAGCCTAGGTGCTTTTATGAGTGTAACCACTCATTATATGTTGTATTTTATTGAGTTAGGTTTTCGATACGAGACTTTATATTCTTCAACAAGAAAAAGAGTGGGTTTCAATGGTCCTTCAAGTGACCATTTTTCAATCATGATTGGTCGCAATGTTAACCATGTTTTGTAGATTGGCTATTTCTAAATCCAATTGTATGAATAGTGAAGGATGGTGAGGTACAATGGTGAAGGTCATGGATCACCTGAAGTGTGTGAGAATATAAAGTGAAGAGTTGTCCCATATTGGAAATTTAAGAAACGTTACATAGACTTATAAAAAAATTGAACTGCTCTCTTCATTGTTAATTTATTTTGGTGTGAAATCTCGAATTCTTTCATTCTATCATGGCATTTTGTATAGTAAGTGGACCTCCTTTTTTCTTTCTTTTTTTTTTCCTATTGTTTGGTAATAAAATTATGATTCACAATAAGTTTCTCCCCTTTTTCCCCTTGTTGTCTTGCTAAAGATATTTAAATAAAAAAAAAAATTAAAAAGAATCTAGCCGTTATTGGTTACTTGGTTAATTTTTAGTTTTTACCATATCTAGTAATGAGTGCAAATCATAGTGAATGAAACCAACCGGTCCCCCTCCGTCCTTTAGTAACTTTCATAATGAAGCACAATACTTTAGTAACTTTCAATCAGATAATTAGGTTGACTTAACAAAATTATTCACCTCTCCTCTCTCTCTCTCTCTCTCTCTCTCTCTCTCATCAACGAGATCAACGTACTTCACATGCAAATCAAACGGCGCATATTTCCTCCACGTGCCATAAAACCCAAGAGAGACCATTGTATTGGTCAAAACAAATGGGATGTGGGCAGCGACAACAACCCAAATGGCCAAGTAAACTAACGGAGTGAGAAGGCATTACCAAATAGCCCCCACACCCATCACCTTTTGTCGGCAAGCAGGCAAAGCAAAATTTAAATTGGCACGAGCCATAAAGAAAAAAGGGAAAATTATTATGTCGTGTTTTCTTTTTTCTACATAGAGAAAGTCAAAGGGGGGGGGGGGGGGTTTGGAAATTGCTAATGCATCTTTGCCCAAAATTTTGTATTTATTTGCATGTGCATTTCACCTTGTGCACTTTAATTTAGCCCATTGACCCCACCATCCCCTCCATGCTTAATGACTTGGTAAAGTTAATCAAACTTGAGCCTTTCAATAACTTGGAAAAGTCTTCATCTTCATCTTCCTCTCTCTCTACTCTCCCTCTACTCTCTCTCAACGCTCATATTACCCGTGTTTTGACTTTCTCATTTTGAAAATCTCTCACTTTCCTCCCCAACCCCGCATATATATAAATAAAAACTCAACCCCTCTCTCATAACCTCATAAACTTATTCAAACCATTTCACAACTATATCAAACACCTTCATCATCAAATCAATCATCAAACACTCTACACACAAAACCTCCTCTAATTCCTTTGATCCCTGTTCATAATCCTAAGTAAAACCTTCTTAGTTTTGATTTCCACCAGTTTTTTCCCTTCTGCGTTTTCGCTCTTTTTCCATCAATGGATCAAGAAATTGATGTTCCTTCATTTTTCATCTGCCCCATTTCTCTGGAAATCATGAAAGACCCCGTCACAATTACAACCGGGATAACCTACGACCGGGAGAGCATCGAGAAATGGCTATTCTTGAGCAAGAACAACACCTGCCCCGTCACCAAACAAGTGGTTTCGGACTCTGACATCACCCCAAACCACACTCTCCGCCGGCTGCTCCAAGCTTGGTGCACCTTGAACGCTTCTCACGGCATCGAGCGGATCCCTACTCCGAAGCCGCCTGTCAGCAAAACCCAGATCGCCAAGCTCTTCAGAGAAGCCAAAAAGTCTCCACAGTGCTTGTCGAAATGCCTTAGAGAGATCCGGTCCATGGCGTCCCACAGTGAAGCCAACAAGAGAAGCATCGAAGCCGCCGGCGCAAGCGAGTTCTTGTCTTCCATGATCATCAACAACGTCAGAAACAACAACAATGTTGAAAGCGAAGAAGCTTTGAGCATCCTCTACAACCTCAATCTCAGCGCAGACGCACTCAAAACATTTGTAGGCAAAGAAGGGGAGTTTATCGAGGCCTTGATCAAGCTCATGCAACGTGGAAGCTACGAGTCTCGAGCTTATGCAGTGATGTTATTCAGATCAATGTTCGAGGTGGCTGACGACCCAATGAAGATGACAAACTTAAGACCTGAATTCTTCATCGAAGTCGTTCAGGTCTTAAATGATCAGATCTCACAGCAGGCCTCAAAAGCCACATTGCAGCTGCTCATCAAGCTCTGCCCTTGGGGACGAAACCGAGTCAAGGCCGTCGAAGCCGGGGCGGTTAAAGTCTTGATCGAGCTTCTCCTTGATACATCTGCAGACAGGAGGACCTTGGAAATGTGATTTCGAAGAAGATAATGAGAGTTTCGAAGGTGGGGAGCGAGAGGGCTGTGAGGATTTTGTTCTCCATTTGCAAGTTCTCGGCGACCCCGAGTGTTTTGCAGGAGATGATGCAACTGGGTGTTGTGGCAAAGCTGTGCTTGGTGCTTCAAGTGGACAGTGGGAGCAAGACCAAGGAGAAGGCCAGAGAGATCTTGAAATTGCATGCAAGGACATGGAAGAACTCTACTTGTATACCAAGCAGTTTGGTTTCTTCTTATCCTTCATAGAGATTGAGAAAGAAGTGCGGCTTTCTCTATATATTTTCAGTAATTTTCCATTTTTGTGTACATATTGGATAGTTGGTTATGATAAAAATATATATACAGATTAACGGGCAAGTCCCTTAAATGTTTGATCACATTCGTATGGATTTTGTTCTGTTTTGGTTCATGGTCTAATTGGTCCTTCTGTAGTTAATTGCTCGATATATATTTGGACTGATTACATATATTTTGCAGAACTTTTCATTGTTCTGGAAATTCTTCGTTTCGAATTTGAGTCGTTTATGAGAAATCGAAATCTTTTGCTTTCTTTTTAATTTTTGGTCAGAGAAATCCAAAGATTAGTATTAATAAGCCCATACTTTTAGCAGTTTCTGGGTCACCTTGTTCATGCAAATTAAGATTGAGAACTGGTCCAGCACCAGCACCTACTAGCTATAGACCTAGACTTTCTCCCTCAAAAAAGCCAGCCAGCCACAGAAAATAGTCATATCTTCCTTGCAAGTGTGTTATACAATTTAATTTGCCCATCTTTGTGGACCGAATTCTATATTCCTGCAATTATACCTAATACGGATAAACAATGGGATTATTAATTCTATTAAGTTACAGCTTTCCTTTTTAGCAAAACAAGTACAACATTTAGTATTTGACTTTGCATTATAATTAAAGAGAACAATATTAATTTAATCTAACATTATCCATTATATTGCTACAGCCCTGATCTCTTGGACCATTTGTGGTCACTCCTCTTTGGATGTTAATCTAATAGTTCAAAAAAGTTTCTTAAAAGAATGCAAGAGTGAGTGAATCGTTGAATTTACATTCAACTGTGAGTGACCACAAATCCCTTGGACCCATGTAGTGTAAGAGATCGGGACTGTATATTGCTGATTATATGATGTGATTACTACTTGTACACGTATATAGAAAGGTATAAGTTTTGTTCGGTCAATTGTACACGTTCAAGTTAAATACACCCTGTAAATTTATTCATATTTATTATTATATTATAAAATATAAATTCATAGTCTATCCATGTTATAACACGCGGTTGGATTATTATACAATAGTATCTCATACAGCATCTTGGTCAAGAGTGCGATAATAATGCCAAGACATTAGACGCATGATGTGATGTATGCGGAAAATCCAGAAGGGCCTTCTACCTTCTAGTAAATAAAAGAGAAGAGGGGAAACTTCCCCCTCCATCTAGTAAAATCAAATTGCGGCTGGGACCTTGCTGCAGCACATGCTGTGTGCGGCGCTAATAAAGAAATTTCCCTTTACGGCAACTCACCTTCCTCTGGGAAAGCAGTGGTAATGGACAATTCTTTACCTCACATTTTCTTCTTCTTTTTTTCCTTAATTTCTTTCTACTTTCGGTAAAAAATTTCACTTTCCTTGTTTCTTTTGTGTAGTTTCACACTCATGAGTCCCAATCTGATTATTTAATTCAATCCTCCAAACTTATCGAACCCGATCAGAAATGAATCAATATATTTCCCTTTCCCAAAACCTCTAAGTACGTACGTACCTTGTTTATTATGCAAAACAAAATGCTAATAATACCAGTAGATATATTCATTGGAACGAATGTGGACCATATATTTAGTTCCATATTCACGGGACATGGAAAAAATTTCCAGCTCGGACTTTGACTTACATGATTCATGAGATGTTGGAAATTGGTTTATTGTAGTTTATGCTGAGTTATAAAGCACACATATATAGGTGGGAAAGGCATGAAGTGTTATATACGTTCCAATTTTATCAATTTGCGATTATTGTTATATGCATGTCACGAAAATTCTACAAATATTATGATTGAGAATCATGTCCATATACCTTTTTCCACAAACACAAAAGCTAAAGTGTCACGAATTTTATGGCCAAAAGAAGCAAACATGTGGTGCAAATTCGTCAGTTACTACGTGAGATTCAACTCTCAAGAAAATGAACACCACCACCTCCCCTAGTCAACTCATAATTTCATCATAAATCCCGGCCAATCCCGGCCAATCCCGAGCCTCCACGTGTAGGGTACAGATTTCACAATGGTATAAGGCCTTACCTGGCTCTGTATTGTCAGATGATATCTGATCCAAAGTTGGCCAGACATTTTTAATGTGATATCATGAATATGATGGGCAACGATGCTGTCTTCCTCCATATCCTATTTTTTTCAAATTGGATATCCAATAACATGATCGGGTCGTAGTCAGTCTCAGCAGCAGTCAGCATTAGCAGCTTACAGTTGCATCCATGGAAGCAAATCAATTTTCACGTCGTACACCAAGATCGTATGATCGATTACTTGGTAGATGAGCAACCTGTAAATTAATCTAACGTAAGGCACGAGAACTAATACAATAACAAGTGACATGCATTTGATTTTGACTAGGTGATGTTTTTAATTTTCTCTATTGATTCATTTGTCATACATATATTTATTATACGTATTATATGTTGTTATTACACTATTAATTGAGGAGCTTTGCTATGATTAGTTGCCCAAATAAATATCAACCATTCATTTTTTGTGGATCTTGATCAATAGGGAGTCGTCAATTTGGACATTTTAAAGAATTAGGTCACGTAGTATTAGCAGTCCACCCGAATTAAACATAAAGAGTATCCACATACGTGGTCATTCTACTTCCACCAGCCTCACCACAACAAGTGGATTTTGAGTTTCTTGCGGTCTGTTTGGTTACATCTCTTAATAGTTTTTGTGGCAATGACCGGGTTATAGAGCTAGGGGGTTTGCAGCATTTTGTATTCATAACGTGCAGTTTTTTAATTGATAATTAACTTGATAATGTAATTAATAAGATAGATTTGGTATTAAGGGATCACTAATCTTTTTATTATTGATCAATATATATATATATGATTTGATCAAACTTTGCAGGCACTTTATACTAGATGTTTGTCGGCTGGAAGATGATTTGTGGAAGTTAGTTATCTATATCTTGGATCATGGGCGTTTCTGGGATCATGTGTTGCACTAAATTTCATGTAATCCCCCCAAAATCTCAAGCCTAAACCTTGCCAACCTCCACTAATACACTCATCAATAATAAAATAGATTATTCAGGGACTTGTTCCAAGAAATTTTCAAACCTGGGCAATGCATGGTTTTCAGCCCCACAAGTTGTGCTTCCAATGAATTTGACATTTTCATATTCTTTGCTTTTCAATCCACGCGACAATTATGAACGGCACAACAAGTAGACTGAGTGCTTCTCCCTCCTTCCCTTGGAACCAGGAAACCATGCATCCTTTGAAAACCGGCAGAGGCACCACTTGGACGCTCTCAATTAATCTTTACAGTCCTTGATCTTGACCAAATATTCTTATAAGTAATTTTCATTAATAGGGTTTTGACACTAATTTTTCCTCCTTGGGGATTCAATGAGTGGTTAAAGCAGCTTCATGGTAGTGGTTTTAGACATCAATTAGAAAATCTTAACTGCCAAATCTCGAAGCAGAATGACCAAGAAAATGAAAGAGTTCCGGGAGAGAATTTCTATGGTTAATTTATGTTAAATGAATGGTCTATATATAAGCCTACTTAAGCTTGATTAACAGAAGGTTCTACGAGACTAATTAATAGAAGCTTCGAGCTTTATAAAAGAAGCTTCCATGGATTTGGAAAAAGAAAATATACCCTAGAGTAGGAAACTGGCTATACAAAATCCTCTCTGCGACTATCTGTGTGAGAGAGAGAAATACCTCAATCTTTAGTGTGTTCTTCGCTCACTAAATCCAGGAGGGCAGATGGGGTTTTGAATGAAACGCATACACGAATTTCGTACCGCCTTGTAAATAGAATTAACAAAAATTACGAAGGAAAAATAAGTAATAGCTAGGAGCATAATTATTATAGATATTATTACATGGTGATTTTCAGTTTCCAATCTATTCGATCTATACATATATAACTAATTATATTCATAGTATATGAAAGAAAGATAACAAATTAAGAAAAGAACATCAATCTTGACATCAAGTCCTGGAGAAAGTTTCATTACATGGCAAATCAAATGGGCTCCAACAACTACCAATTAAGAGGTTCGGATCATGAGCTTCTGGCCCTCCTCCTAGTAGTGGTGTAGCAGCAGCTTGCATAGTATGACTTGTATGAGCCATCATTTGAGAAGTAGACCACAATGCCTCCTCTTGGCCTACTGGCAATATTGGTGGCAACCCAAAATCATTTGAATCTTGAATTTGATGATGATACTTCTCATGATGATGAATTAATGGGTCCAATCCACCAAAGTACATGAGATCATTGGTGCTACAATTTTCAGTGTGGCATCCAAGTGACCCAACAAGACCATTTTGATGATCTTCCATTAATTGAATGCTACTAATGTTGCCTCCTGAGCTTGCATTGTTCATGTTCAATGCCATGCTTGAAAAATCTAAAGCAGCTGGATCGAATTCACTAGGTAATTCTGGCAGCTGATGATCAGATCCAGTGCTATTCGAATCGTCTGGCTTTTGGTTCAAGAAATTTGCATAAACAAGCGCAAGATCAATACTTGAACCATCTTGACTTACTGAGGAGCTTGTGGAATCACCCAATGAGTTGTTCATAATTACATTGGTGCCATATGAATTGTGAACAGTACTCCCATAATTACCCAAATTAGTGGCACTCTTACTAGATTGATGAACATGACCTTCTGTGGCAGTGGCAGTGGTGGATAGCCTAAAGGACTTGGACCCTCTTCTGTTTTTCCGGCAGCCGCCTCCTACCGGGACGTTCCTGAGGGACCCACCCTTGGTCCAGTACCTCCTACAGCCCTTGCAGAAGTACCTTGGTTGAGTTAAGCTATAGTTGTTGTAGTAACAAAACTTGGTGTTGGAACAACCACACCGGGGACAATTTGGAGTTATCTGATGATGATCATCGTTTGGCTTCCATCCTGCTCTCTCCATCACCAATTGTGACCCAAGTCCGCATAGGTTTCATGAAAATCTCCCACACACTCTACTCTCTCTTGCAGAGTTGCGCAGAGAGAGAGAGAGAGAGAGAGAGAGAGAGAGAGAGAGAGAATGCTCAGTTGGGCTGTATATGTAAATGTAATAGTACTTTCAATACACTTATATGGGATAGAGTATAATTAAGAAAGAAGTGTATAGTACACCACCCCGTGCA